CTTTGAAATGATAAGGGCCCAGGAAAAGTGTTCACCATGAATTTGAGCCCTGACCCAATGTACACTGATTTGTAATTAGCTGACTTATCTTTTGTTGATGATATTTATTGCTTTATCAGTTTTTCCTTTCTTATTCTTTGGGGTGATACTCATAGTTCATGTGAGAATGATTATTGTTTAAAACATTAGAAATACACACAAAGTTTTTTCCTCCTCTGAATCAGATGAGTCTGCAACTTAACTGCTTCTAAAGTACTAATAGATCTACAGAAAAACAAAGCCAACCTAATCCATTCCCCTATTAAAGACCCTCCAACCTATACTTGAATATTTCTTTGCTTCAGATTTCTGTTTCTAATCTGTGAGCCTAAAATAATTATCAGCAATTTGCCAAAAGCACTGAGCTTTATCATGCTTTTGCATAATTCTTTTTATGTTTGTGACTGGGATTCTCAGTAATGCTAGCTAGAAATCTTATAACTAAGCAGATTTATTACCACCAATCTCAAAAGGGCACTCAAAATCGCTTCGCAAGAAAACACTTCAATATGAAGATTGCTCTTCTACTTCTGGTAACATTTTTCTCTCAGTCTTAAACTTCCTCTCTCATCTACTCCCTGTATACATGTTTTTTATTTGATGTCCCTGTCTGTTGCAGCATTACCAAATTAAAACTATTAAACATGAACACTTTCATCTTCCTGTAACAAAATTTGCAAGCCTTTTCGCCTGACTGCTCTGTGTTTCTCCATATTCCTTTCACTACATCAGATCAATTCTCCTGTTACTTGTCCTTGAAATCTCATTTATTGTCTTCTACAATATTATGTTCCTTTATTATACCCTCTCTTTCCCATATCACCAATATATGCTTTTCTATAGGATAATTATCATTAACCAACAAACAATTTGGTTTAATGGCATATCTCTAGAAAGAAAATCTCTCTTGACTTCCCTAAGACAGCATAATTGTTCCATCTTCCTCCTGACTCATGTCTCCAAATTGTTATCTGTTTTTATTCACTCTTCAGCCTATATTGAATTGTTTTCAACTTTGTTATTTAAATAAAAATACCTTATTAACAACCTAAATGTTAAATTTGAGAGACAGCATTCTGTCCTCATAAGAGTCAGCTTTTCAATAGCAGTCAGTGACTCCCACTCCTCCCTTTTAAATAACTTTCTTCTCTTGCCTCTTTTGAGTGTCTTCCTATTCTTCTGCTCACTCATGAGCATGGTTTGATAGCTCCTTGTACTCTATTATTCGGCAAATAGTACAGATCTTTGAGGCTTTCTCACAGGTTCTCTTGTCTTTGAACGTATCCTGTGTGATGTCATCTACTCATGTTGATTTGACATACTTATAGCATGTATATCCAGATGGCTCTCTGATACCCCCGAACATCAATTGTGTTCATCTTTTAACTTCACATATGCACTCAGAAATGTAACTTGGAAATGTAAATCTGAAATTTATAATTTCAAAACTGAACTTCAAATTTTCTCTTTAAGCCTCTGAATTCTACACTACTAATTATTATAATTTACTCCCTTCTCATGAAATTCAAATAGGAAATGAAGTCCCCCAAATAGAAAATACTCTTTTATTCTTTAGATATTATCACTTTTTACCTCAGATTCTCTTTGGAAACTGGAGATTTTGTCTTCAAAAGATATCTTTATTCTGTCTAGTTCACTGTTACCTCATAGTCTATGTCTTCACCATCTTTCACCTAGCCTACTGCAATAGCCAATAGCTTAGGTTTCCTTAAATCCATTTGTTTTAAATAGAGACCATGAAATATAATTCAGATCAGGTCACTCTCTTACAAAAATGGGTAATTGACACAAACGAGTTAAGTGCTTATTACTGGGCAGTACGACATGATAAAAGCAAGAACACACAAGGGAGGGGTGAGGATAGGTAAGACACCTAAAAAATTAGCTAGCATTTGTTGCCCTTAACGCAGAGAAACTAAAGCAGATACCTTAAAAGCAACTAAGGCCAATAGGAAAAGGGGACCAGGAACTAGAGAAAAGGTTAGATCAAAAAGAATTAACCTAGAAGGTAACACCCACGCACAGGAAATCAATGTGAGTCAACTCCCTGTATAGCTATCCTTATCTCAACCAGCAAAAACCCTTGTTCCTTCCTATTATAGCTTATACTCTCTCTACAACAAAATTAGAGATAAGGGCAAAACAGTTTCTGCTGGGTATTGAGGGGGTCAGGGGGAGAGGGAGGGGGTGGAGTGGGTGGTAAGGGAGGGGGTGGGGGCAGGGGGGAGAAATGACCCAAGCCTTGTATGCACATATGAATAATAAAAGAAAAAAAAATAATAATAAAAAAACAAAAAAAACAAATGAGTTAGGTGGCCAAGGTATAAACATGGTACACCAGAGAAAACCCTAGCCAAGAGAGAGCTGCTATGAATTGGTTCTTTCAGATTGTACCATACAATGGTGTTGATTTAAGTGGCAAAATATAACAAATGTATACAAAAACACCTGTGTGTGTGTGAGTGGATGTGAGTGTAAAGTAAATGTGAAATCTCCTGAGACTTAAATGTTGGCTCTCATTTTTATAAAACATTGTATGCTTAAAACAAAACAAATCTCTAGTCCAGATTATCCTGAATGACTGCCAATTCACATTCTCTGAGCCAGAAGTCTGCTTTCTCCTCATCTCCTCAACTTCATTGTGTGCTTTTTTTACCCTACTTATCCTCTATGAGTGAGCCTCACTGATATTTACTCCCCAAGAATAACTAGCTTATCATGCTCTTCCTGAATGTAAGGCTTTTCATTCCTTACACACTAGACAGATAATTCTTCCAATGTCAACAGCAGTGGGACCTTTAGAAATTGGGTTGGTTCTGATCCTAAGACCTTTTTATTCTCACTCACAGACCTTGCTTTTAAATTTATTTTTGACATTATAATACTTTTCCTAATTTGTGATTACATCTGCATGGCTTGAAATTCACTACACTTAAAGGAAATTTAACTCACCGTATTACTGTTACATTATAAGTTAATTTCGAATAAAACATTCATATAACTGGTAAATAGTTGATCCAAGTAATTATTAATAATTATTCAATATATCATGTTATGTCATCATACCTATTATGAATAGATAACTTATTTTGTCACAAGCCCACGGATTGGCACTATACATCCTTTATCTCACTTAGTCTTCTCTCTTCTCAACCAAATGAGATACACATTATTTATGTCCACATAGATCTGAGGAAACCAACTATTGTGAAGACAACATAACTTTTTTCAAATATGAGATTTTGATGAAATTCAAAGCATAGTATACAATAGTAATGACAAAGTGAGATTTGGGAATCATAAAATCATTAGATCAGATTCTAGTTTTAACAAACTGTAAGCTGGGCATATGAAGCTTCAGTTTCTGCATTTGTAAAATGAAAATAAAAACAGGCATGTAAAACGGAAACTCTTATTAAATTGCTTACCATTTCTTTGTCTCTAAAGTATAATGGTTAATTATTGAGAGTAAGAAATTTAGTTGTTTTTTTTATTTTTAACACCACATTTTGCTATGTAGTCTAGGCTGGCCATGAACTTTCAATGCTCCTGCCTCAGCTTTTTGAGTGCAGGAATTACAGGCCTAAGCCACCATGCTTTTGATTCAGTTGATTTTAATGAAGTTAAGTATTTTATTAGCATGAAAGGTTAACAGATTGTAGGACTTTTGAAATTTTCCTTGGTGCATATTATCACACATTATTATGTTTTATATTTGGGGAAGGTGTTATAGTTCTGTAAATACTTCAGAAAAAGTAAATTATATTCATGTTTAAATAATATTAGTGCTTTCTGGTCTAGGCATAGTAAAATAGAACTTTCAGTACTAATGAAACATGCATGGTGACAAAATTCCCATAGAATGAAATTCTAAGCTTATCTTTTCCCTTCCTAAGGATACTTTTTAGTGTATCATTTGTAGTTTATACAAATAATACAAAGAACTGAAGACAGTAAATGAGTAGTGCACATAACCTAAAGCACTAGCATAAACAATTAAAAATACAACCTAATATGGAAAGGAAACCTATGTAAAATAGATATTTACTAATTTTAACCAAAATATCCTTTAACATTTTAATAGGAGTTTGTTTCTGTTTTTGATTTCTTTGTGCACTGAGGGTTGAACCCATAGCTTTGCCCATGCTAGGCAAGTGTTTTACCCTTAACTACACCTTTAGGTCATGACAGAAGTGATTTTTATATTCTTTCAGTAAAATACTAACATTAGAGGACTAATAAAGATTCAAGATTTCTAAAATGTGATAATTATCCCCCCTTTCAAATTAATATATCTTAATAAAAAACTTTTAAAAAAATGGTAGGAAAAAAGTGACAATTACTAGGCAAAGGCTTTTACCGTATCTGGGCATAAATTAGAAGCTGTTTGAATACCTACACATTTTGTAGGTTGTTGGCAAATTTAAATGCAAATTAATAAAATGAACTCTAATTATATTATGGCTGCAAAATTCAGATTCAAGTTATATTTATTACTAAGAATACATGAAGAATACATGCTGAAGTGTTTCCCACACATTACTATATGAGAAACTCATCATTTTGTACAGTAATTTGATTTACAGGTTACAGAAGAGGTTCACAATGCTACACCAGGTAGGACTGAGCAATTTCACCCAAACCAGACGACCAATAAGTTGAACAATTTGAATGCATACCTTTGACATCTAAATCCCATGATTTTTCATTTACTACATGAAAAAAGTAGTCAGTTAATCTCCAAAAGAGTATCCTGATAAAGTTTATACATTATTTGACTAGTTATTTTTTTAAATAATGGCATATTGTTAATAATGTTAATGAAATCTATCTTCATAGTTTGAAGTCAACAGGTCTTTATTTCTGTATTATTACTAATTTTTAAAATTTAAATTAAAATAAACTTTGGCAAAGTAAATAAAAAAATTTTTAAATATTACCTAAAATCTGATCCAATTCTCTTCCCATTTTCTGGTTCTCCTGGATCTGGGCATAAATTGGAAGCTGTTTTAATACCTCCCTCATTTACTGTAACAGAAAAGACAAAAAAGGAAAAAAGAATAAAATATATATGATTAGAAAACCAAGAATGATATTAACTTAAAGATCTACATAAAATATACTATTTTACTTATTTATAATCATCATTATTATATGAGTGCAGAAATTTAAAATATAATTTTATAAAAAAATAATGCAAGTAAAAGCATTTTCCCATTTATGGACCTGTCAGAACTTAAACTTGAAATTAACATTGAAAAACATAATATATCATTATGAATATTTACAAATTAAAGTAAAACTTTTAAAACAATTTTAATCAAATTGCAAAATCTATATCCTGGTATCTTTGTTAAAGTTTTCATAAATTATTGCCAGTACAGAAATCATTGTAGCTTATGTCAGTGTCATTTGCATCTCTGTTACTTTTAAAGTTGGAATGGAAACATAAGACCTTATGGAAAAAGTTTAAAATTATTAACACTTCTGGATTTCTCATGTAACAGAGGAATTTGGTCTGCCAACATTAAAGTAAAATAATGATGAAAATTACTAAGTATGCCACTGGATTATGTTATAATATAAAAAAATTATTTCTATTCTCAAGGACTTAAGCAATTCCTACAACTCTGCATTACTTAGCCATTGTAACATGTTCAGAAATTTCTTCAGAGTATTCAGTTAATGAAAAATTTGTTAATTTTTGTCTGTGACTGTGATCACATTTATCACATCCCAGGATGTTTTTTTTCTTAAATAGGAAGATTTTAATTTATTTTTGAGACAAGATCTTCTTATGGAGCCTAGATTGTCCTCGAACTCACAATCCATACTTCGAGATATCTAAATGATGTTGTTTTATAATATAATCTTATAGTTAACTGGAGAGTAACTCCTATTGTTTTATTCTATCAATTTATCTACTATTTTTAAAGAAAAGAATAGTGCCTAAGTGGAGACTCCAGGAAAAAAAGCCACCACTTGACAGTGATTCTTATCCTGTACTGATTGAAATCACTTATGAATAATTAAAGAATGAATGGTCTTGTTCTACCCTAGATATTCTATTACAATTAATGTACAGCAGGATGCTGGTTATTAGTTGTTGATTTTTACAAAATAACTCTTGAGTTGGTTATAATGTCAAGTCAAAGTTTTGAACAACTGGACTTTGAAATCATTTACCTCAAATTGGTCATTATGTTCAAACTGATTCACAAAATAGAATGATGATCAACAGCAATGGTTATGGTAAATTTATCATCTAACTCAACCAGATATAAAATTTTACTTTTTCTATCACTTTAAAAAGATTTTGTCCTAAATATCAGCAGTAATGACTTTCTTGCCAATTTTATTGCATACCCATTGATTCAAAGGATGTGATTTTTCTGCCTTTCAATTGGCCAACTCCATGACAATGGACTATGTCAAAGGCATTTAACCCAGATTGCTCCTTACTTCATATTTTCCTCACTGCCTGAAACATTACCCCTTTAGCTAATATGCCTTTGTCATCTGTCCCAAGCTCTTTCTTGGCCTAACAACCCCCAAAGGTGTCCTTGTCATCTCCTCCATCTGCTCAAATTTAACTTGATTACTTTGATACTTTTGTGACTCCATTATCATGTACCTCTAATACTTGGAGAGGAATAAAACACAGTTTTTATTATTGCTCAAATATCCTGTAGGTTTAGATTTCTACTAGGTCAATTGAATTTTTTACTATTCACCAAGATCCATCCATTATTCAAATCCCACTCCATTCTCACTTTCCTGCAATTCCACTGGTCACACATGCTTGCTGCATACATTTGTTTTGATTTTCTCCATGTTTTTGAGTTTGCAATTTATTTCTCTTGTGCTCTCAAAATCCTAATATTTTAATTCTCAGTTCAGGTCCTACTTACTTCAAAAGAGGATCACTCATTTTTACCATGTTATTTAATTCCTCTTTTCACATAACTGGGGGTATTTTCTCTGGATAATTTTATATTCAATTTTAAAATTATTTTGTATCTTTATAAATTAATAGTTTCACATACATCACAGAAATTATTTAGCTTATAAAGATGGAGGGCAAACACAATTATTTTAATATACCTACAAAGTCTATAGAGGGGTTAATAATATCTTAATGCATCTATTCTATTTTGATTGACATAACCAACTGATACATTGTTTCCAATGAATTGAAGATTTTCTATGGAAAGTATCATCGTTCTCACCCTTGAAAGGCTTCTAACAATATTGTTGAATATGCTACTAATATTTTAAATATCAGTTGGGAATAAGGAAAACAGCTAGCCTTACCTAAATTTAACCATTATAATATAACATGTAGCATAAAATATAGAATAATATGGAAGTGGTTTGTGAATACATCATTAGAATATAAAAATCAGAAAAATCCATTTTCCATTTCATCATTATTATTGTGAAATATTATTGTGAATGTTATCTGTATCACAATATATAACTTTCTTAAGTATTTCGTATGAATTTTATGTGATAGTTAAAATTTATATTGTATTATATGTGAGGAATCAATCTACATACCTTATATGTGTTAAATCATTTGATCCATGACAATTTTAAATTTAACTTCTAATATTATGACTCTTCTACAGATGAGAAAACTGACCTATGTAGAAGTGAAAACTGTGTCAGGTTCAGTTAATGCCAGCCTATATTTAAATCCAGTCCAACCCTTGAGTACTATAGCCTGTCTAGACTTCTCAGCACAACAAAAACTATGTCATTATCTAAAATTCAAAATATTTTTAAAAATATTATATGTTAAAATGAAGGCCATATTTATAATTTTCAGCACTTTTGCCTAATCTCACTGATAAGATTTCAATTGTTATTTATGCCTGTTTCAACACTATTTTTGTACATGTGCAAATTTAAAATGGGAAGAAAATGGTAGAAATTATGCACATGTGTGTATGAATGTTAGTTATAAATGTCCAAAATAAAACATAAATTATTAACAAAATGTTTAATCTTCTATTTTCTCTGATATGTAGTCATCAAAGAATTGCCCATAGCTACGTTATGACAAGATGTTCAAATGAAATCACTGGTCCATCATCATTGCTGCTTTCACTACCTAATACCATTGAAGTGATTGGATGGATGTCACTTTTATTTCTCTGAGGCTGAATAGAAATATGGGGCATGGTAAGAGCATGGAAGCTATTTAGAATTAAATTACATGGGCAGGATGCTTTCCTTTGAAACAGCATTGATTATTAGACAACACTTCTGTGCGGGTCTTTAAGGATACTATATATATGTCATATATATATCATACATATGATACATATATATAAAATACATATGATATATATATATAATTTTATTTATTTTTGCTGGTACTTTTTTTAAAACTTAGTGCCTTGTGCTTTCTAGGTAGGCAAGAGTTTTACATTTCAGCCACATCCCCAGATCTTTTTCTTTTAGTTTATTTTTAAGTTAGGGTCTTGATTTTGTTTAGGATCAGCCTTGAAGTGTTATCCTCTTATCTTTGCCGCCCGTGTAGTAGCTGGGATTACAGGCATGCAGTGTGCCATCCTATTTTTCTTAATCAAGGACCTGCATTTTCTAGGCAAATGCATTACCACATAAGCCTTGACCCCCAGCCTTGTTGGCTTTAATATTTTTCAGACACAGTATCATACGTTTTCTGCAGCATGGCCCAAAGCCATCCTCCTATCTTTGCTCCCTGGACAACTGAGATTTGAGATATAATGTTTACCACTAGGCCCAACTATGTTGTTGGGATGGGGTCTGGTTAGGTTGCCCTTGAATTGCAATCCTCCTTTTCCTTGCTTTCTAAGTAGCTGGAATTATAGGAATAAGCCACTGCATTCATCTCCCTTAAGGATATGTTTATTATTATTATTATTAATGAAATGTAAGTAATGCTTCCTGCACACAATGGTGAAAAAGAAAGAGGTGAAAAAAATTCATACAATTTTTAAATTGGATTATTTATTTCTTTTAACACTGAAGTATTTTTATTACATGTGTTTATATATTTATTATGTGTTATTCTAATTTTAAAGACACTATAAACATCAAAATATAATATTATTAGTGTTCTTAGGCTTCTTATTTTATATAATACAAAATCAACCCTGAAAATACAAATGAACAGATGTTCACTAAAGTTTACCTTCATGTTACCTCTTCCAACTATTTACATCTCCAATTTCCTTATTTGTATAAATTTGTTTATTTTAATATTTTTTTCAGTTTTTATTTTAATAATAACTACAGTGCTTGTGGATCTTCTTCAGAACCCAAATATCATGAAAGTCAAAAATATATTCTTTTATACAAGTACTCTTAAAAGTCTACAAAGAATTCCTTTTAACTTATTTAGCCTTTTAAAATTTTATATCCTTGAACACCAAGACTATTTTACTGTCTCTTTTTCTGTCTTATTGTAGCAAATTGCTGTCATGGACGAGCTGTGAAATGAACAGATCATGTGAATGGTGAAAGTCTGAAAGAGGAAGGAAAATTCAATCACTTATGGGAGGCTCACAGCTTTTTTTTTTATAATTCTGCTTTAATATTCTGTATGGACCTACTAGATATCCTGGCAAGTCATTGAGTTTAATATTTTAAAATATAAAAATTTGCTTTGAATTAAACTTTTTATAGCAAAAGTCTATTTTATTCCTTCTTGGAAAACCTACAATTTTTGAAGGTGAGTTTGGCAAATCTACATTTCTGAACAACAAACAAGGGTATGTAATTTAGAGATCAGATATAAAAGATGAAAAAATCCTGAATTAACCACTGAAACAACTGAGCTCTCTCATAAATACTGTGAGATCTTTGAATCTCTTGTTAATTCACTTCTTAGTTAAACTCTAAAGATGCCATTGTGAGAAGATGGGCTTAGAAAGTGTGTGGTCCATTTTCTCCAAATCAATGTTCACTTCTGCCATGCCAGTAGTATAACTGATAGTTTTTTCAAGTAACAAGTATTTTAATTTTTTTCATCTGAAAGATGAATGTCATATCAAAGTTATTTTTCTTTAAAACTATTTTGTCATGTGGTAAATAACTAATGTCAAATGATCAAGACCCAAATACTTAGTTTTTATAGTAGATATATAATAATATCACCCGTTGAAATGATATAATCCTTTGCTATAAACAGCCACAAGATAATGTGTTTTTGAAACCAGGTTTTCAGTAATTAAGAATATGTTGTAGTAAAATAAAATTTAAAATAATGTTTCACAACCATGAAAAAATTTGCCTTTGTTTCCATTGATAAAATAATTATTTGTATTCAAAAATAAAAACAGAAAAGCAAAAAATTGTATTTTGCATGAAGTACAAAGGATAAACGCAAAATTTTTAAAAATTATGATGTAGATTATTAATTTTTTGTTTCATACTAACTTTTACATAACAATTTTAAAGAAAATATTCACCTAGTTTCCCAGGGAACACAGTCATATCTAAATTTCTTTATTGTTTATCCTTATAGTCCATGAAAATAATAAAATATATATATCCACTAGGGTAAAATGTCAATAGAAATAGAGCTACATAGATAACACCTTGGTAAATCCTAGATAAGAGTATAAATACACTGAATTCCTTAGAATACCTGAAAGTTTGAAGTACACAAACTTTAAAATGGCAAATTTTCAGACAAATGAAAAAAGATGAACTGATTATATAGCTTGTAAATCTATTAAGAATTACAAGTTAAATATTTGGCCACACAAACGTTAGAAAGAAATGTAGCCTGCCTAATATTTAATTCTGCAAACATTTAGCTTTTATTTTATGTTGACATGATAGAATTTGATATACTGGAATCATCTCACCTAGCTTCTATTCTATTCATATCTTGTACTATAAGATAGATGTATTGCTTTCCAAAATCCATTAAATGTTTACATATAAATCATATTGTAGCATTATTTATTTTCCAAAAATTATGAATATTGAAAATTTGCTTTTTATCCCCAAAATATATGAATAAACTATAATTATGCAGGCAAATACCTTGAAATTAAATACTGTATGCTTTCCAAATAAGTAACTCAATTTGATCAATGATTTCCTATTAATATTTGCTGGTTTCTGATTTGTACTCTCAAACTGAACAAACAAAATATAAATATCACATTTGTTTTTTCTGGAACTGAGGTTTGAACTCAGGTCCTCACACTTGGTAAGCAGCTGCTCTACCACTTGAGCTATTCCACCAGTTTTAACTTATGAAACCATCAAATATTTGATAACATAAAGGACTCAAATTTGCTTACATATAATTGATATAGAAGTTCAATTTTTATAATTTACTATTCATAGCTACAAGTTCATAAAATATAAGTAAAATCTTTTTTTGGAGTAACAATAATGAATGGTTTTTGATTATGTCAAACTTTCTAATATGCTTAGATATAAACAGCAAGTTAGGGACCACTTACCAATTGCTATTAATTTGTACAGTAAAATTTCTTAGCTTTACTATATGTATTATTCCCTGTTTGTTTTTGTAATGTAGATGAGCATTCTATTTCAACAATTCCTTCATTCTGAGATGGGGAGATGGCCTTCAGATGGCCTGTAACACCTCAGATTTATGAAAATCATTTTATATTTCAGAGTATTTAATAAATAAAGAAGTAATATAATAAATTCAATAATTTACAAAAGATTATTGACAGTGGTTTAATAAATTAACTCAAGAATATTTTTGAAAATGAAAACTGCTATTATAAAAGAAACATTCCTTAGAAAATATTTTCTGTAGGAATTTTTTATATGTGAAAATAAGAATTCCTTCAGGTAACCAGCAGTTTTAGAAATTTTACTTATTTTTATCTCACATTGTAGAATGAGAAAACTTGATTGTCCCCATCACATAAGCTCCAAATATATTTTTACATATTGAAATGTGGAGTAAATTTTAGCAAAAACAATGTGAAGTTGGAAAATTGCCACTTTAATCCATTAACTCATTACACATTTAAATACATAAAATATTGAATGAGCATCATGCATGTTATATAGATATTAATTAAGTTAATTTGGTAAATGCACAAATATTTTGATAAAACACACACAAACAACACAGACACCACAAACTTCACTCTTCCACCAGAGAAAATAACAAAAAAGGAGTACACTCACAGATAGAAAACTTGTTGCTGTTGTCTTTCCCTGGAAACAATTTAAATCCTCTAGATTTAAAATCTATGGCCTTTTTCACTAGTTAAGAAAACAAACAAAAACATATATCAGGAAATACAATTTGAAAATGAAATTCAAGTTAACAAATTTTGTTAGCATGGAATTATACAAGTTAAAGAAACCTCTTTCTTAAGCCTAATACAGGGTACTCATAGGAAAAGAAAAAAGAAATTTACTTAAATCACCTAGTAGTAAAATACTAAGCAATGTAGAAAATTTAGAAAGAAACCTGAACTTGCATATAGGTATATTTTAAAACTACCCAATTTTTTATACAGAAATAAAACTTGTACACTTAACTTCATCAAATTTTATGGATGAGATAAATTAGAAAAGCAAACTATACTGGGGCATTAGAATGGTGGAAAGATTTTAATGAACTAAATTTTATTTGAAATATTATAAAACATTTTAGAAAAGAGAATAATTAGAAAGATTTTAATTACATTTAAATATTTTTGCTAATTTTTTTCCATGAATTATCTTTTTTTTAATTGTTTTATTATTCATATGTGCATACAAGGCTTGGGTCATTTCTCCCCCCTGCCCCCAACCCCTCCCTTACCACCCACTCCACCCCCTCTCTCTCCCCCCCATCCCCTCAATACACGGCAGAAACTATTTTGCCCTTTCTTTTGACACTGATTGTACAAAAGGTATGGAAATAAGTTACAACCATTTGGAATCTCACTACTGTTTGGTGACTTGTAACAACCTTTTTTTTTTAATTTCATGTTTTATTATTTTCCTGGGGGTACATTGTGGCATTTACAAGTCTTATAATATATCAAATATATCATATTTGACTTCCATTATTCTCCAAGCTTGAGACTGTCTTGCTGCTATTTATTGTAAGAGGTGATACTATGTTGTGATATTACATTACCCATGTTAAAATAGATATAACAAGATTGTCTAAGAAAAATAAATATAAATAATTTCAATGGGGAGCATAGTAAATATGTTTCTACAACCTGAGATATTTAAAATATTTTTTCCAGGTAATTTGGATTAAGAAAAATAAGTTTTATTTCTTTTTAAGTATAAATTATTTAATTAATTACAATTGCAATGGATTTCAAAAGTGATAAATGGTAGCCAGGCACAGTGGTGCATGCCTGTCACTGGAGTTATACCAGAGCCCTATGTAGGAGGAGGAATTTAGTCTGAGGACAGCCCCAGTCAAAAATTCAAGGTACTATCTGAAAAATAATTAAAGCAACAAAGTGCTGAGGATATGGCTCCAGAAATAGAGTACCTGCCTAACAAATATAAGGTCCAGGTTCAAATCCCAGTAGCATAAAAAAATGAAGTGGTGATATTTCAGAACACTATAAATTTTTAATTTGCACCAATTTGAAACCTTGCAAATTTAAAATTATGTTATGTGATCTGATCTAATGGGACATTTCAATATCGATTATTGTCTTATAATGAAAGGGTAAATTTAACTTAACTAATTAAAGGTTTATGCACATTGTTTTTAATCAGGTTTACAGTGAAGGATTATAGCCTTAAACTTTATGAAATTAAGTTTGTTTATGTTATAAATTTGAAAGAAACAAAACTTACTTTTATTTCATAGTTTAAGATAGTCGTTTCACCAATTCTGAATAAGAAGTTCAAATAATGGATACTTTATTGATTTAGAAAAATTGTAAGGTAATTTGTTTTTCTTCGTGTTAATACCTTCAAAGTAGGACGGGAAAGACAGGGCCTGGTGGTTTATTAGAATATACTGCTATGAACTGACTATCCAAAATACCTATGTTAATAGAGGAAAATGATCCTTGGAGAAGGATTTAAAGACCCTATTTTTGGCAATCTGTTAGCTGTGTAATTTTGGACAAGGATCTGAACTTTTACATCATGTTCTCCTGTTAAAATAAGAAGCGAGGACTAGATGACCACCAAGTCCCTTTATGGTTCCTGGACTGTTTATCTGTAGCCCTTCACTGAAGGTCTTCACTATAAATATGCAGTGAAATAATGACAATTGACGCTTTCTGTTGTGATTCTCTACTACCTCCACCCACAACCCATGTTAACTGAAAGTTTAATTCTCCTGAAGTATTCAACTGCTCCAAATTTAGATGTACCTACTTGTGAAATTTTCTGCAGTCTCCAAATATTTCTTCACAAAATTTGCATTTTGCATTTTGTGGCATAATTCTAGATTTTCCCACTTGAAACATGAATTATAACTCAGGCTCTAGCTCCACTCTTCTATGAATTATACAATTTGGCATTATTAGTATTATAAATGAGTCTCAAGATTTAATTTCTCAAATCTAAAAGTCTAAAAGAATGAAGAAAATTAAGTGCAATGATTATAAATCCTAGAGAGAAAACTGTAAAAGAATATTTTATAAGTTAAAGGGTTCAATGCTGTAAATAATGTATCTCTAAGGTATGCATGGGGAAAGGGTGCATGCGTGTGTGTGTGTGTGTGTGTGTGTGTGTGTGTGTGTGTAAAGGGATAGGGTTATATGTATGCTCATATCTAGAATGACTGTCTGACAACATTTGATGATAAAAACAAGTGAATGCTTATAGCCAAGAAACCATCAACTTGGACCAGGAATTAAAAGTGCCATTTTTAAAAAACACGCACATATATGTATATACACATATATACATATATAAAAACTTATCTTAAAATTTAAAATGTAAGTAAAATCTGTAATAATTATAAGATGCAGAAGATGAAAGTTCAGGAGAATATCCATTTTAGGAGATAAAGTATTTGAAAGAATAATAATATGAATTATATTCACACATTTTAAAATAGGTTAAAAAGTAAATAAACATTCTGAAATATTTTATAATTTAATAGAAAAAAAACTTGTTGCATCTCTACCTGAATAAATCATAAGGTTAAATATTTCAAGTATCAATTATGAAACACTGCTCTAAATCATGTATTAAATTCCCCATATATGCCACAAAATTTCATTTTTATTATGCATAAATGTATAGACAGTAAATCTCAATATGTTCTTAAGTAATAAGTTCTTCTAGTGACCACATTTAATTTACACAAGTAAACCTAACTTTTAACTGGCATATTTCAGTAACAAGAAGGTAAAATTCATTAAAGAGTCAAAGTTAAAATACCTATAGGTTTTTACAGGTTAGGAAAATATTAAAAATCAGTGTGTTATGGTGATACTTCCTTTCTCTAGTTGGTGACTTCTTCAAGGGGAGGAAAATGTTTTGCTCAGGTTTTACTTGTGTAATTGTATGAATAAATACATGCAGTTAGTTCTGGATCATTTAGATAAGGGTATTTTGTAGACTTTATCTTGAATTAGATAGAGTGCAAATGATGAAAGAATGAATACTCATATGAAACATACTCATTTGTAAAGCTATTTTTACATACATAATACCCATATATGCTCTAATAAATTTGGAAATCACTAAATACAAGATCTATAAGTAAGTGTATAAAGTACATTTCCTTTGTTTTGCATTGCTAAATAATTTTTAATCATTTTCTTTATTTTTATTACTTTTAAATAATAAAAGCTTATTTCAGCATAGTAGAAAAAAATTTAATGGGGAAGGAGTGCAGGGAAGAAGAGATGGTCAGCAATCAAATCCATCTTTTTTTAGATACAAAATCACTTTAGTCCTGTACCCTCCACTAGAGCAGTTTTAAGCCACCGTAGTGAAGTATAACTCTGGCATCTTCCAAGTTAATTACTCTTTTGTTATCAGATCAATTTTAACTCTAAAATTAAAAAACTTGTGAAAAGACAATGATGGGGATTGTTATTTAAACCTCACCTAACTTTCATTGTAACTGAAACCACTTATTTAAAATGATTGAAATTATAATGCCTAATACAAAATTAACCATGTACATACGTATGTGAATCATAGCTTGATTTCTCCAACTAATCACATATTTGTGAGATAGATAGCATCTGACATTATTTTTTGTGTTAGAGTATCTTCCCTAGAGTAAACTGAGAATATGTTGTGTTCATGGGAGATGATAGGTTGGTAAGAAATAAGAACTAGTGTATGTGCTAGGCTTTAATGTTAGGAAACTGATGATATTATGTAGATAAGATAGATGGAATTGAAATATCAGTTGGACGTTTGTAGAAGATAACCTTAAAGAGGTCCTTATATCACAAAAAGTGTATAATTTAACATCATAAAAAATGCCTGGGGTCAATTTTCTTATTTGAAAATTGATCATCTTTTCAGTACATACCATTAAACTTACACATCTATAACTTATGCTTCTATTTCATTTGTATGTATGTATAAGTGGAAAGTTGCAACTTGAAGAATATTTATCTCTGAAAATGAAGAAACAGAATGCTTACTACTAGAAGAAATGTTTTTTCAAATTGCAAATATTTAACTTCATGCTTTATGGGGCTCTGTAGAAGAAAGGGGCAGTGTCTTTCAAATATTATCAAAATATACTGGAACTCCTCTCGTTTTCTACTTAGATTATATTGCAAAATAATAAGATAAAATGAATGCAATATTCTAGTTTTATATTTGTCTTAACCTTCTTAATTTATAGCATTTGTAATGACAATAAAGTTTTCTATTTTTTCAGCAGCTGGATTACAAATCTGTGATTCAACTGTAATGTAAGATTTCTTTTAAAAAGGAAAATAGTATTTCATAAGCAAGTAAGCAATGTGTATGCTATTGACATTTTTTTCATTTTTTCTGCCTCATTTTAACATTTATCTTCAAATGTATATTTCCTTTTTGTTTCTCTATTGCACTGTTTTATAATTCCTACTTTTTATTTTATTTTATTTTTTTGGCAGCACCTCTACCACTTGAGCCACTCGCCCAGCCCCTTTTTGCATTGGGTATTTCTGAGATAAAGTCTAGCTTTTTGCCCAGCCTGCCCCAAACCTTGATCTTCCTGATTTCTGCCTCCTCAGTTGCTAGTATTACAGGCATGAGCCACGAGGACCTGACTCCTACCTTTTACATTGAAGTAATAATGTTATCAGTCTCCTTATAGTCAACAAATA